TGTAGTTTCTCTTATTGTTTACTCTAACCAAGGAAAAAACATCATGTCTGAATTTAAGAGTGCTTAAAATTTTGGGCACTGGAAAGACTCAGGCTACTCAGCTACATCCACAAGAAGACCGCCAGACACACTTATATCGTCTGAATGGTTTTTGGGAAATCTGGAAGCGCGTTTGGAAGATACTCATCAGATCGCCAGTAGAAGAATCAACAGAACGACTGAGAGGGTAAAAGAGAAACAGGATGTGAAGTCAATGGATTCAAAGAAGATGATCAAGTCTGGTTGTGGAAACTTAGCGTCGCCGAGGGGTCTTACCATCCCAGCTGCAATCTTCCTGCTAGTGCCTGCTTCCTGCTAGTAACCCTTCCGTATCAACAAACTGCTGAAAGATATGATGTTGCTCAAACAAAGAATGCCTTTTTTTGAATTTAACTTAGAGCACTGCGATAGACGTGCACAATACTATGTATGGAAATGAGGATCAGTTGTCCCTGGACTTATGGATCATACTGTCCGAAACGTGAAATATCTAAAGGATGGTAACGGATGCTGAAAATATTTGAGTATATTTCGTTTTTATGTGCTATAAATATTATAAATTCTTTAAATATTTTTATTTAACAATTTTTGCACTTTAAGAAATTTAGCTTGTAATCTGATTTAGTCAAAATTTTGGTTACTTATTTTTAAGGCTTCAATTCTTATGTTAAGTTGTAGAGCTTTTAATTTTAATAGATAATCCTTAAAATGTACAAATACGATATGTAGGCAGAAGCTCTGTTCACGATCCTTGGCAACATTTGGTGAATGCTTACCAACTCTGAGATTTTCTGAAATTTTCTAAATAACATATTTTGGAAACTCTAGGCTGGAGTTTTCCCAAACCTTCAGAAGACAGGTCAACACTAACTATACAACTGCTTTTGAGCCAACTAGGTTACTCATTTCGACTCAAAGATTTAGCTGAGAGAATTGTGAATTTAAAGTTGTGTTTTGGAATTTATTTGGTAAGTGATATTATTCATGTTTGATATTTTTTGTGTGTTAAGAGACATTTGCCTCACCTCGGTGTTCTACTTAAACTACTTACAACTGATTATTTTGCTGTTCGATCCCATTTATCGCAATGAATTATAAATTTCGTCTTGCTGGTCTGACTTAAATATTGAAGAAAGCTCTACGAGCCCGTGAATCGCAAAAGAGAACACAGATTACACTGTCTAAGTGTGAATCCATCTCGCTTAAGATTAATTCTCTGTATTCTTACATCAGTCGCAATTTCGAATGTCGTTTCTCAACTAATACAAAAGAGAAATATGCAAGAAAAATGAAATTTATTCTTGTAGTAACTCTACGACATGTATCTGGACATTGCCTACGGTGCACTGATGATAGCTGAATAAATCTTTCAATGAGACGGGTTAGCAGAACATTTGATTAACCTCGTACAGTATGAGTACGCTACGTAGATAAAATACACAGAGTATACAATACACACTTTTGTACATCAAATGCAAAAAAAAAAAAAAACTGAAATAAGCGAATATCATCATCTTAACCAGATTTGCAAACGAAGGGCTATTGCAGACAACTCCTTTTTTATTTCCCATCTCTTAATATTATAATCAACAAACGTGGGCAGAAAAAGCAATTTAGACACATCAGTGTTAAGAAAAGGTAATTTATTATGCCCATACGAAACATCAGGGCATGATGAATGTTGACATCTACCGGTGTAAGTGAGAAATAAGACTATTTCGGACATACATCAAGCGACTATGTGAATGTTGACATTCATCTGAGAATGTCGATATTCTCCAGTTTTCGGTATTTTACGGTGAGATAAATATGTGTGAATCAATGATATAATTTGCTTTGTTTAATTAATAATGCCAAATCACAAAAACGATATCTGCTTCAATAGAAAGTTTCCGTAAAGAACTTACTAAGATAAATAGTTCTCACTTGCCTTCCAAATGGAGAACAAGGAAGTAGTATTTTTCAATCAGCCTAACCAGTTGCTAGAAAAAGTTCAATGAACTAATTATCAGTATCATATACTAGACAAGTGTTTCCCGGATTTTTATTTTTGTGAACTATTTCAGGGAAAACTTTTTTCTATATAAACGCTCCACATACTAGTCATATAATTTTTATGCACAAATAGCCTAAACGCTAACTTAAGAGTGATAGCACAAGTTTTAACTGTTCAAAAAGATTAAAAAGGAAATACACTGGTTATCATAACTTAAGAAAAAATCACAAAAATAGCGATAACTCCCTCAAAAATAAGCCAAACCGTGTAAAATTCGATTATGTTGCCAAGTAAGAGTAGCTGAGTAAAACTGCAATATGCAAATTAGTGGATCTGTACTCGGAATACGTTATCTGCGAAGAGAATAAAAGTCCATGTTTGAGAGCAAGCCCACATATTTCACTGTGATAGTGACATCAGAAATGTGAGATAGCTATTCGTAACAATGACGTCCAGGCATCATTTGCCTGCAGACCTACGATAGAGAGTGGCCAGATGGCTAAATGTGAGTCCTTCTGTGGTTCAAAGACTTTTGAGGCAATTTCAAACCGCAGATTCGGCATCTAGGAGGTTAAGCCAAGGACGGCCAACTGCTACGACGAGCGCCGATGACCGGTATTTGACATTATGTGCGCGCACGAATAGAACCTCTGCTCCGACTCTTCTTAGTCCTTCCTTGCTTTAGCCACCGAAAGGTTGCTGTCAACGTCAACTGTGCGTAAATGTCTTCACGAAGGTGGTCTGTATGCGAGACGACCAGCCATTTGCGTGCCTCTCACGTCACACCATAGGAGGCACCGTTTGCAGTAGGCACGACAACATGTCCACTGGACGCCTGATCAGTGGAGGGCTGATCAGTGGAGGGCTGTTCTCGTTACGGATGAGTCCAGATTTAGTCTAGAAAGCGATAGGAGGCGTTATTTGATATGAAGAGAACCTGGAACCCGTTATCATCTGTCAAACATCCGTTAAAGAGATGTATACAGAAGAGGCAGTGTCTGTGTTTGGGGTGGCATCTCTTTGGGTGGACGCACAGATCTCCATGTCTTCCCAACGGAAACCGTGAATGCTCCGGTTTATAGAGATGACATCCTTGATGCTTATGTGCGCCCATGTGTCGGGGCAATAGGTGATGCTTTCCTGTTACAGGACGATAACGCAAGACCACACAGGGCTCGCATTGTAGATGATTATCTTCAACAGGAAACAATTATGCCCATGGAGTGGCCAGCTCGATCCCCGGACTTGAATCCTATCGATCACGTTTGGGCTGCTTTAGAGAGACGTCTAGCTGCTCTCAATCCGCCCCTCATACCCTTGCCCCGCTTGCAACTTCTTTGCAAGAGCAATGGCTCTCGCTTCTTATGGAACTGATAGACCGCACAATTGAAAAAAAAAGCATCACACATCGCTGTATGTGCTGTATTGCATATTGAATATTCCATAGAGGCGGACCATATTCCATATTGAAGGTACTTTTCCTATAGCAAACTGACATCTTCGATTTGTTCATTTTATACATGTGCTAATTTCTATACTACCATAATTATCTGGTAATTTATTTTTATGTTATTTCATACCTTACTATATGTTGTATATTGTGGGTAAGTTTTATAAAATTCTACATGTAACTTTTTCAGTAATCGTGATTTTTCCTTAATAACCAGTGTAAAAGAGTAGAATTATGCCAAACAAGAGGGCAGTTACTGATGGCCTGTTGCTAATGTAATGGAATTATTGCAGGCTTTTGACATTTTAGACAACTTAACTAATTAACAATTTAATTGTTAACAGCTCACAAGTAAAATAGTAGTCAATCTGAACTCCTTGTAATTACTACTTTATTTTAGCAAATCTTGCATACATGATAATGTAATTATGCATCTGCACATTTTTATCCTGTAACACGGCACTTTATCGCAAAAATCAAACTAGGGTCCCACTTTAAAATTAATTGCACCAATTATCTGTTAAGCATTGTATTAAGTGCCTATTGTTAATGCATGTTAACGTAGCATTTACCTAACGCTTGGGTACCCACTGATTACTGTGTACCTAATACACGTGTTTTAATATCTTTGTGCATTGGTTAATGCACTTAAGAAACAGCACAAATAATCCTGTAGCAAGACACTGTACCACACAGTACTAATCTAAAGTCTAACTTTTAATTCACTGTACTAATTACTTAATCCAGCATAACATTGCGCACCTAATATTTCAGTATGTACATGTCTTCTGTAATCTAATGATAATGCTTCAAAGGATCATAGTGTACTCAACATATGAGTACACACGTTATGTGTATATGCTACCGTATTCATGCTTTTGCATACACCTTGTAACATGGCAATGTATTATCCAGTGTCTAATATTAATTAGCTTTAACGCCACTGTATTAAGTACCAAATTTGTATGTATGTTTATGTGTTAGTGTATTAACATAATTACCACGTATGATTATCTAGATAAAGATGGACGTGGCTCTATACCGATTAACCGTATTTGTAGAGGGGTGGTTGCCACGTCCTCCATTGCATGTTGCAGTAATAGTCCGTGAACAGTCTATTCATAGGATAGGTGATGTAGTCGGAAGGAAAGAACTGCTTTCGAAGGTGTTCTGTAAGATAATGAAGATAATGAAGTGCAGATAATGAAGTGCGTCCGTGTCTTCCCCGCGATAACCGCAAGAACAGTTGACGTCCCGTGAAAAATGTGCAACGCCTTCGCTGGGAATCGAACCACAGACCTCTGGAATACGCGCTTAGCAGGCAGACCATCACACCACAAAGGCATGCTGAGAAGGCGGGAGAAATACCTTATATATTTCCCCTTTTAAAGGGCGACTGGGGTTTTTAGGGGCCCAATCCTGGGTATGGAGAATTATCCTCCACCATCCTTTTAGTTCAAGCGCCACTGTAGACATAAGGTATTTTTTGAAGCAGGAAAGATGAAAAATGAGCAACGCCTTCGCCAGGAATTGAACCATGGATCTCTGGAATATGCGTCCAGCGTGCTGACCATCACACCACGAAGGCATGCTAGGAAGGCGGGAGAAATGCCTTATAACTAATTTCCATGCTAAGTTCTCAACGCAATTTCAATTCTTTCTTGTGACTGATTAACTTGCTTTTACATTCAAATTATAGCATTGCCGTCAAATTCCAGCTTTAAACGGCTTTTTGTTTAAAATATTTTGGACGGTTGAGTGAAGTTTGGAACAATTATGGTATAGTGGATTGAATTTCGTAACACAAAAATAAACTTTAAAATTAAAATAAGATTCCCTAATATGTTGAAGTTGTCTTGGAAATTTCTTTTGCAAACATTTTATGAACTATTTTACATTTTTAAAGCGAATATAAAACTTTTTTTAACTGAAAGAATCTTAAGTATTTCCACCATGAAAACGTAAGGATATTTTTTATTGTCTTTGTCTGACAGAAGTTTATGTCACTCAGGCAAAGAAAAAGTCGTTTATTCTCTTTTTTTAATATTGTATTCTGAGACATATCATGTAAAATTCTTTTTCGTGACTAGAAGCTAACTTTATCAATTTTTTTTAATGTGGCTTTAAGGCCTTAAGGGCTTTAATAAGACTTTAAGGGCGTTCAGCAAAAATGTTTTAAATTGCTTATTTTTTGGAGAATGTTTCGAAATGTAGTCAATTTCTCGACATCTCCCTCGGGAGTTTAGAGTCTATATACTTATAAAATAACTCTTAAGCTTAACGACAGGTTCTGTATACCTATTCCCAACCCATGCATTGTAAATCTGTAGCCAAGAGTTAGGTCAAAGTTGTTACTCGAATATTAACGAAAGTAATGGCTAAAATAATGGCGAATTACAGTAAGTGAGCAACGCCGTTTATCACAAGTTTATCACAAGTGACCGTTTATCACAAGTGACCGTTTATCACAAGTCACTTTATTAACTATCACAAGTATAAAAGTTTAGTATTTAGAGTGCTATTTTTGTAAATGAGACAACATACATGCATATATAGATAGCTAAAATTGCTATATTTTGGCTTGCTTCTCTCGATTTATTGCTCAAATCAACAAAAGAATTTTGACATTCTTTTAAACAAAACTTGCTATAATGAAAATGTCACAGGTTTTCGGAATAGCGCAAGTTTTGAAGATATATTATAAGCAATCTTCAGAACCACCTATATATATATATATAGATATATGCCCGTTTATATATTTAAACTGGAAAAAAATAATAAACGTGTGATAAGGACTTAAAAACATTTTTATTTGGCTTTTGACTTAATTTTTTTCCCATTTGACTTACAAAATATTAATTTGCTTAATGAATATTTTATTGTTTATTCTGATACTTGTTTTTCTTTCGCCTTTTTAGTTTTAATTTAACTTTATATATATATGTGTGTGTGCTAGTTTGATAAAAAACTGGATTTTTCGGACTGTGATTCTAAAAATGTTTTTATTATATTTTCCGCCGTTGCTGAGAAAATGATCCTACAAATATAATAGTCTCTCAGTTCTTTCTTCTGTAAAACTCTTCGGAATAGTTGCGAAAACCATGCAGAAATGCATTTTCCACTTCAACATCCGACGCAAAATGCTTCTTCTTGCAAGCCCTCTTCATTGAGCCGAATGCATGGAAATCACAGACAGAAAAACAAATTATAGCTTACATGTCAAATGACTTGTCAGAATCTTTTAAGGTGACAGCTACTATAAGTGGCCTTGCATTTTCCTGAAAGGATCCACGCTCCAAGATAGAATTCTAGGTCGATTGGCTTCGATCTACTTTCTTAAATGTTCCAATGTTTCGAAGTAATGACCAGCAATCAATTTGATGATTTTCAAGAAGCAGTCGAAGGGTCCGTGACGATCAAAGTGTCAACAAAACCATTCCAGAAAGACAGGATCCGAATTAAGTTCAACAATGGAGTAATCTATCGCTGAACTCATAAATGCTTGACGGTTGACTGTCTTAGTAATAAAAACATATGACTAACTGCGAGAAATGATGGCTTTACCCGCGAAGAAACAGAAATGAAATCGGCCAGTTTATGGTATAAAGAACTTACTTTCCATTCAGTTACTACCCGTATAAAGAATTGTTGTCATATAAGAAGTGAAAACATACTGAATACTTTGATTCCTGAAATAATAGCAGTAATTTTTATTCAATACTCTTGTTTATTTGTATTGTGAATGTTTTCAAACAAATATTTGCTTCATTATATTTTTGCAGACGCAAGAAAATGAAGAAATCATGTAATTTACATCAAAACTGGAAAACAAATTTAAAAAATGACGCACTGCATGGAAAAAATATGCAGTTTTTCAGGTATTTGAAATTATTGTCTCTATGAATTAAATTAGAAACTCTCAATGAAAATAAAAATGTGTTCCCTTCATTTTCATTTGTTAATTTAAATGTAAATTTATTCTCTTTCTCAAAATTAGCTTTTCAAAATATTTAAGATTTCGCTGGTGACTGATTCAATTACATATTTCTTCCTCTAAACTATTTTATTACGGTGAATTAAATTTCTTAGTCTTCCCTCAACCATGTTAAAAGTTTACCATCAGAAGCTTAAAACATTCAGCATCTCTAAAATACAAAGAAAATAAAACTACGACATCAAAAATATTATCACTGTGAGTAATACTCTTGGATCTCACAATTTAAACAAATAACTTTATAATTTTTACGTCACAGATATTCTAGATATATTTTTAAGGACAAGAAACTTGCTACCTCATTCTTTAAGTAGGTTTTAGAAAACCATTTTTTTAAATGAAAGAATTTCATCTCACGAAGGTCGAAATGGAATTTTTATATCTTTTGATGATTTCAAAAAGCTAGAAAGTAATGCAAATTATCTTATAATAAAAGAGAAAAATATCAGAACTAAATCTGGATTAAACTTCTTAGCTTTAGTTCTCTAGCCCTTTTTTACTCAGTGTTCCACTACATGTAACACCCAACTTGAATCGCTTCTGAAACCGTTAAATTCAATCATAAGTGAATAAAAATGCCTTTCTAATATACTTCGAACTTCTCTTTTTAAATAGTCGATGGCAGCATATTACAACGAGACCCAGAATTTTCATTTATGATGTGTTATTAAAATCCACTTATTTTCTAGTAATTTTCTATATTTTTTGGTGATACAAAAATATTTGTTTGAAAAACAATTTCTATATAATTTTGATGACTGTATATTTTTTTACATTTTTCATACAAAAAGAATGCGCAGAATCATTGAATAAAACGGGGTGTTCCATTAGCGGAAACACTGCGCCTTTAGCGATCTCATGCTATTACGAATTACAACATCTGTCTTAGGAGAAAACATCATTTGAATGTGTTTTCTATTTACGTTGTTTTGGGGGAATGAATTCAAACAAAGCAGTCTTGAGAGGTGAGGTGTGGTTTGTGCTATGAAAGCCCTAATATGGTCATCTTGAAATTTTTGTGAGCAATTTTCAAGCGGGATTTTTATCAGTAGCTCGAGTCATCTTTACTTAGAGCTGCGCGAATTTTTTGCTGTCGCTTTTTAGTCTCATTCCCGTTTATTTTCAGTAATTGTGTAGATATTTTTTGTGCATGTATATCGTATAGCTTATTTTTCTTTACTCTTAGTATTGTTAGTATTTTAATTGTAGTTAATTTTTTATTATTAATTTTCCATAAATGGCGCGGAGAGGTCTAACTCTTTCCGAAGCGCTAAAAGTGCTTCATGAATTACCCTCTTATTATGAATCAGAGCATGAAGATAGTAGCGATACTGAGATATATGCTTCTGAACCACTTGTGCAATCCTACTGTGGTATGTAGGATGAAACTTATTTATTTGATGAGAAGGTTGATTATCCATCTTACACAGGCCCTTCTACGCAGCCTCAAGTTTTTACTTGGAATTCTAAACATATTGTTGCACGGAACTAGAATCCGCACAAAACAAGTTTTGTGTTCAAAACCCGCAAAGTTGGATTGTGCTTCTATCAAAAAGGTGCGACATGCTTTGAACAATTTCACAAAGCTAAGAAATCGAAAATTTGTAAATATCTTTGTATATAGGACTTTTGTATATTCATATATTTATCTCATTTATCCATATTTAGTCAAGAATGTTGTGTATATCCAGAAAACCATGTATACAACCATAATACAGTGTTTTTTCATTGCTTTAAAATCGCTTCCTACTCATTTCCGTGCTTCACTGCAATACTCGCTTAGTCGCACTTTTAAAATCTCTGGCGGCACAGTGTTTCACCTTATGGAACACTCACAGAATTAAAACGGTAAATGCAATTTATACAAAATTTTACCTGTATACTCCTTTAGGCTTAGATAGACTGCATACAACTTTTTTTACTGAAATTCCGACTTTAAAGTATAGTGCATCACAAAGGGCTAGAAGAAGGGGGAAAAGTTAAACGAATTTTTAGTCCAAATGGATTTGAGTTCTGAAGGACTATTACTTTCGTTTTCGCATTTTGCGTCGGACTCCTATAAATGACGGTTCACTTTTCAGACTGTTGCCACAAATTGTTAGAGTCCTGCATTATATATTTGAAGAAATTAAGTAATGAAAAATCTGCATAAATGTATGTATATTTCTCGCATTGTGATAAAACAACGGTACATAGAGTCATCGAATTTGAATAACGTAATCCTCCAACGAATATAGGCATGTGGAAGACCAAATTTGAAATTTGAAATTTGTTTTATGATCGATTTCCTATTTTTTAAAACTTTTTGACGAATTTTTTAGTAACAAACTCAAGGATTTCAAAGCGAGCAATGGCACACTTGTGGGGTGGAAAAACCTTTTATCTCCAGCGCGTGAGTCTCTGTATCGGAAATTCTAAAGATAGGCTCATTTTTAAATTATTTTGCGACATTGCTATTGAAATGAATTTTATTTTATAGTTTAAGTGCAAAGAACATGATATTTATTAAATAAAGGTAACACACAAAACGTTAAAAAAACGCCATTTTATTATTATTTTAGATCTGTAAAAATGCAATCGTAAGATTATACTCA